CCAGAGAAGCTCATTGATTCGGCATTTTGAATATCAGGGTTTAATAGCTGCAGTTGTGGCTTCATTTGTATTGTAATTTCCATCATGACACTCAGTTCTGTGCACATTGAGTCTCGTAAAATATATCTAAAACCCCTCTTACATCTTTAGCAAATTTAACATCCAGGGTGGCCCTAGCTATTCCTTTAATATTTATTAGATCCCATATTCTTCCAGCAGTTTAAAGATAGCATACTAAACCTTCTTTCTGAAGACTTCCACATAGCCTGGAATTGTGCAATTTAAAATCTTTGTATGTCATGTTCTCTTCTCTCAACAGGCAAGCAGGGCTATTTTTTGTAGTCCTAATAGCCAGTTATGCCCTCAAAAACCTGAAATATGAACGACTGGTTCATTTGCTACAAATTTTCATTTTCCAAATTCCTGCATAAGTTACTTTGTTTCCCAGATCTGAATTTGTTCTGCCCCAACCAGTTTGATTTTCAGATATACATACCCATAACACTGTTATTTTCAAGATTAACATTATGTTAAAGCAGGGCTCCTCTACTCCTAGGCTGCGCACCAGTACTAGTCCATGGCCTGTTAAGAACCAGGCTGCACAAGCAGCAGGTGAGTTAACATTCATCCGCGTATGCACAGGAGCTAGGTTGCATGTAAAACCATCCCCTCCTCTCCCCCCTATCCGTGGAAGACAATTTTGCTTCCAAAATTGGTCCTTGATGCCAGAAAGGTTGGGGGCTGCTGACATAAAGGACAGAAAAGGGAATGCAAATTAATAAAATAAATGAATCAAAGACATGAGATAAGATAAACATAGGTAAAATTAGTCTTTAATTTTCTAAAATTAGAAATTACATCATTCACTAAACCTCCCAAACCTTTCTTCTCTTGTAAATCATCTTTGCTTCTTCCACATCTACACACCATTTCCTACATTGCCTTTAGTTCTTTAAATTTTTCACCTTTCCCTGTTTGATAATGTTATTTATCCCATGCAACAATATATTTCTCGGTCTTGCTCTTGATTTGTTCCTCCTTCTTCAATATTTGTTTTGAAATCCAGTCTCCATTCATTTCCTTTGCATGACCAAACTATGTACTATGGTTGTATTGATCACTGACATTTATTCAATTTGCATATTGATTCAGCATTTTCATTCCTGCCATCATTCCTTTTTGTTTTATTTCTAAACATTTATTTACTCCCTTTCCACTGCATTCAATGTGTTTTTCCACGATATACTCAACTTGTTTCCACACAACAAAGTAGAGAGAAGCATGTTGGCCTACATAGCCACTTTAGCTTCTGCACGTGTGAAAAGATCCATTTAAACAAGTAACATATGTTTTGTTTAAACTAACTGCAGCAATGAAGAGTGTAGTGCTAAAGTGTTACAGCCCTGTAGAATTTAGCTATATACTCTTTTCAGTTGCCTAGGTCAAGAGTTCACTTTGCATAGCTGTCTATGTATAGACTTTATGACCATTGTATAAATCAGCCAATGAAGGGACAGAATGGTCTTATCCCACAGTGCTATCTTTCAGATAAAGGTCTGAAAAAGAAATTATCAGTCAATTGTGTTTGGGATACTTTGATGGGTTAATGTATCGACCCTTTTGGTTTGAGGAATCTTTTTTTTTTTTTTTTGGTACGATTTTCAAAGAGATTTATTGACTTCTGGATACCAAATTCCATAGCAGCATTTGTGCACTTTACACAAAGAATTGTTTCAATTCTTTCAGTTCAATTCTTGCATTCGGGTCACTTTATATAGTATTTAAGTGTTTGGCATTATTCTAACGAGTACGCTAGACAGTTTGTGTTATTTATAATTATTTAAGGCTAAATTTCAGTTACTAATAAGGTAGCTTTTATATTACAAGTACTGTTCTTCGCATCTCGTTGTGCTCCAATTTATATGAAAGAGTAATGAGTAGTAAATCATTGCATTGCTGAAGAAGTAATGAGAATAATGCTTCATTAAGGCCTGATTTTGCTTAAATTAGTATAAGTTAGTATACTAATTTATACTAATTTAGTATGTTAGTATATAGAATATACTAACTGAAGTTAGTATATTCTGATAAGAAATACTTACGTATTTTAAACTTTAATTTGAGATGAAGCCGAGGTGGCGCAGTGGTTAGAGTGCAGTACTGCAGCTACTTCAGCTGACTGCTAGTTCAGCAGATCAGCGGATAAAATCTCACCGGCTCAAGGTTGACTCAGCCTTCCATTCTTCCGAGGTGGGTAAAATGAGGACCCAGATTGTTAGGGGGCAATATGCTATTTAGTATACTGTCTTTGGTGTAAGCCACCCAGAGTCCTCGGAGAGTGGGCGGCATAGAAATATGACTAATAAATAAATAAATACATACATTTTAATATTTTGGAGCGTACATTTTTGAATTTTATAAATATTATGTCAAAATTGGCAGCTGCATCACAAAACTTAATTTTCCATGCCCTTCTTGTTCCATGATTCTGATTAATTTTTCCAAGTCTTTAATCTAGCCTTGATGGTTTCCAGCTTCCATATTCTCTGCAGGGGTATGCTTTTTGCGGAGCTGGATGTTGGGGAGAATTTCTGGAAGTTGAAATGGATACAAGTAGAAGGCAAATAATCAGGAAAGTCTACTGTGCTTTTAGTTTTCCCTTCTAGAAAAGAGATAATTTATATATTCTTTCCTCCTTTTTATAGAGTAATACAAATATTCAAATTGTTTTGGGACCTAGTTGTTGCTTTTATGAGTAAAAACACTTTTGCAGGCAACATTTTGACCAATAAGGAATGTGCACAATTCCATGGTTATGTTGCCAATTATTATTTTTTGTTATGTTTGTTGCTAGCAAAATATCGGCCTCTGTATGTAATAGCTGGAGTTGCACATATTTTTTTCTTGTGCTTTCTATTATGTACCAATTAAAATAGGCGTTGTAAATGAAATGACACATTAAAATTATAGTTGGAATAAGGTTACTGTATCCGGATCGCAGGAATCCTAATAACCACTAGATGACAACAAAGAGGCACAGAAAATGTCTTATAAAACCTTATGAAATGAGTACTGGTCACTCAGAATATAAGACAATAGAATACCTACATCAATCATATTTAAAGCACTTTTAAGAACTTTTACAACTTGCACTGCTTATATAAAGGAAATGCTTCTTTTTTGAATAAGGCTGCTTATTGCTGATTTTGCATAGATAAGCCTTGATTTGTGATAAAAACTACGGACTTATTAATTGAATCAAAAGTAAATTTACATGGAAAAACTTTGAAAAATATAATTTTATTGTATGTATAATTTACACAAAGCAAAGATATTTCAAATTTCACATTGTTTATTCATAAATATTATGAATATTTTATATATCATTTTTATGTTTATATTTATGGCTTATAATTATCTACTGATAAGTCATATATAGTATGCATGCAGCTGCTTTTTACCAGATATAAATATACTGAATCTAAGAATTAGACAAATATATTATTAATCAATTTTAAAATAAATATCTAGAAGTTTTTGTCTCTTTCTGTTTTGATTTGAGGGAGTTTGAAATGTGGAATGAGGCAGAGAGAAAGACTCACAAACACAAAAAATTGGTTCTTTTGTGTATTCCTCTATTGTTTATTTGTCTTTAGGATTTTTCTTGCCATCTAAATCAAGAAATTGTTTTAGATGACAAGCTAAAATACCAGCTAGAGTTTGTATTTTTACCTCTTATCAGCAAAGCCATTTATGACCCTATTTATTTTAATTTACTAACTGAAAGTTACATTTAAGTATTTTGATCTAGCCAGATGATTTAAAGCTTTGGGGTATTAAACTTCTTCAGTTTCATATCATACCTTAAATACATCTTGCATCCCAGACAATGAATTTGGCACAACTCAAGGCCATTGGCCAGTTTCTTACATGTTCTCAATCTACACTGCACTGAACTCTTGGCATAATTTAGTGCTCACTTGAGAATGAAAATTCACTTTTCACTTTTTCTTTTAAAGATAAGGCTAAAAGTATTATCAAACCTCCAATTAATATGTACATATTTTCTTCACACCCTGATTTGGTTTCATTATGTTTTTGGAACCTCTTTAATGTAAAAAGTAAAAGCCAAATAACATTTTGAGATCTTGATGATGACATATAGAAGGAAGTTCTGATCCAAAATTATTTTATAAAAACATTTTAGAAGCAGTGAATCAAAAATGTTTCTCCCTCACCACATCTGAATATAGTTCAAGATCTTTTCAAGATCTAAATAGATGTGTGTGTGTGTGTCAATGTCCATCAGAGAGCACACAACTGTTGATGGAATTCATGAGTTACAAGTGATGGAACTAATGAGCTCTAATTTTCTAATCATATCCTCTTTTGAAACATTGTAATCAATGTTAACCATTTGTATTACACTTATATAACTTGCCTTCTGAAAAAAGCATCTTCGGAACAACCATGACCTGGATGACTGAGAATCTCCATAGACTGTAAATGGGAACAAATGCAAAGGTATGCTGGGGAGAAAAGTGGTTTTTAGAAAAGAAGATAAACTGAACATCACATAGCTGGGTTCGAAAATTTATCAGGGTCAGCATTTTCCACTTCAACAAGTTTTAGTTTCACTGTTTTTGAAGTTTAAATTATAATTGGTCTAAAAATTGTATTTCTAAAAGTACATTGCAGTTGCATGTTATTGTATTGCCTTTTGCCAAGTATTGGCCCCAGTATTCCATTAAAAGCCATTTTTCCCCCCACAAAAGCTTTTTGTTACTTTAAATGTGCTCTCCAAACCTCATAAAATAGTCTACATATTTTTTGATAAAATGATGCCCAAATTCTTGTGCAGATTATTGGATTTTGATAATTTAATTTAATTTAATTTATAATAATTAGCACAGGATTCAAAATTTTCCAGAAAATACAATTGGCGATCAGAACTCAGTTTCATGTTAAGTACTTTATATTGTTTTCATTGTCTTATACAGGTGAAGTACAGTTCCCAGATTCTGATGATTCTTTGGGCCAAATGGATGGACATGTTAGACCCGTTCCAACACACAAAGGTATTAGAAATAATTTCATTTTTTAATGACTATGTTGTTAAAGTATAAGATCTGAATGTTTTATTTTTATTATCTACTATTATCTACTATTACTATTACTTATTTATATATTCATATGATCTATAAAAATAATATACCTTGAGAAGTTCTATTTCTATTCGTGTGGTTGCTAAGAGTCAGCCCAAACTTGATGCCATAACTAATTTATTCTACAGTGGTACCTTAGTACTCAACTGCTTTGAATCTCATCAGATTTGGTATTCAACACATTTTGATATGAAAATTTTGTCCCGGTACTCACCACTTGTTTGATACTCAATACACAAGCTAGAAGTTGTCGTTGTCAACTGCCTTGTGACTCACTATATTATTCCTTATGGGAAAAATTGTTTGGGACTCATTTTTTTTTGTACTCATTACACCTCCCGGAACCAATTAACGATGAGTATTGAGGTACCACTGTAACTGAAAATTGCTGTGTGTTCAAAAAAGAATGGCATATCAAATAAAGCTATTGTTTCTTTATTTCAAATAAAGCTATATTTCTTTATTTCAATAGTAGCTTTCAAGATGTTTATTATTTTGGTCATTGAATATGACTACTCAAACTCTATCCTAGGCCAACTCCTAAATGGGTTTTGTTTCCCTTCGGCCTCATTTTCCAAAATATAGTTAATTAAAATGCATTATCTTCTTTTCGGAAGAATTAAAGCAATATTTTTCCTTATATATTCTTGTCTTTCCCACCTTTTTGTGAAAAGGGAGAAGCAGTTACCTCTGTCGTAGAAAGTAAACCAAGATATCCCCCCCCTCCTTCGTGCATGTCAGGGGACTTCAAGAGTTGAATTTTTTGAGGTTTGGGGAAAGGATTGTTGCCAGCAACAAAAGAAGCAAATACTGGAAACTAGGGGAAACTCTTTGATTAGGATAACGTTGGCTCTGAAGAACATTAGTTATAACTTGGTTGAACGTTGTTATGAAGCATGCCTTTTAGTTTTAAAGATGTTTTTAACTTACTTTGTTTCATCCAATCTAATATCTGATGCCCCATGAACAGCAAGTAGCACCTTTCTTAATAAAAGACCATCAGAGTTTGCTGCTCTTCCTCGCAGTTATTGGCAATTGACTAATAATTTATCATGTCTGTCTCCATAACAATAGCAACTTCAGTTAAACTACAGTTACATTGTGTTATGTCTTTCAAAAAAAGTATGTTTTACTCTGTTCAGTCACCCACTTGCCCAACAGATCATCCAGATCAGTTACTTCAGTATAAATATCGCACTGGAATTTTCCCATGTCACTAATCAAGAAATATTTTATATGTTGACAATCTGTGTACAAATCAGCCACTATCGAAATCCCTGGGAATATTTATGTTTTTGGCAGTGAGTCATACTTAAATGTTGTAGTGTTTGGGTTATTTTACATGAAGGAATAAAATAACTCCAAAATAGAGCCATGAATTTAGGTTATTATACTAGAACATCTACAGTAGTATCAACATCCACAATCATTTTCCATTTATCTGGAATTTGAACTGTTTAAACTTTGTATTCCTACACTATCTCTGACATGTATTGGCATGGTTCTAGCGTCTCAGAACTCAGCTCAGCCCTTCTCTTTATAAACTATTTTGAGCACATACTACAATTTGGAATGTTGTTCTATGGAAATTATGCTTGGCTATACGCCAGCCAACTTGCCCTCTCATAGCATAGTCTGCACTGACCCAGTTTAAAATCAACCTGCCAAGAATCTGAGCACTTTAGAGTAATGTGTAATGTATCTAAAATTTTGAAGCACATAATTTGAGGTTATTATTCATACAGCTCAATATTTATTTAGAAATTCTGGTAAAGATTTCTTGTTGTGGAATACAATATTTTGTCATCCAACTTGTTTGTTTCCAATGCATAACTGTTAATTCAATGCATTCCATGTGTTGAATTCAAGACTTAGCTTAAATTCACATTTGGGCACCTGCTGTAATTTATACCCCTTCGTGCGTTTTATAGTCTGCTTTCTCTTAGGTACCTCATTAAATAAGTAAACAAACCATAAATGCAAGAACAATATGTCAAATTTGTAACAAGAACAACAACAAAAGAAGAAGGAAACTGAAACTGAATGCAGCAGACTGTGAAATTAAGTTTTGAGGATGGTTGTCATGGAAGAATCATTGTGTCTGAGTATGAATATATACATTGGCATACCTGCCTAGATAGAAAGGGGAATGATGAAATAGATCTAAGTGAAGGTGGTTTGATCTTGCCTAGAATTGATTGATACATGCACAGAAGTGAAGGTGGTGCTGTAATTATGAAGGAAAAGACTAAAATGTGCAATTATAAGGTAAAGGTTTCCCTTGCACATATGTGCTAGTCGTTCCCAACTCTAGGGGGCGGTGCTCATCTCGGTTTCAAAGCCGAACAGCCAGCGCTGTCCGAAGACGTCTCCATGGTCATGCCAAAGGCACACGGAACGCTGTTACTTTCCCACCAAAGGTGGTCCCTATTTTTCTACTTGCATTTTTTACGTGCTTTCAAATTGCTAGGTTGGGACAAGAGTAACTGGACCTCACCCCATTACGCGGCACTATGGATTTGAAACGCTGAACTGCTGACCTTTCAATCGACAAGCTCAGCGTCTTAGCCACTGAGCCACTGCATCCCTGTGCAATTATAGTTCTTGCTTAATGACCACAATTGGGATTAGCAACTCCCTCGCTAAGCGGCGCAGTTGTTAAGCAAAGCACCACATGACTACACAAGACTTATCACTCACAATGTGGTTGTTAAACGAATCATCCACAGTTGTTACGTGAGATGTAATATGACCACAACTTCCAGTTTTACTGCCAACTTCACTACTGTGCCTGTTGGAAGCTGGTTATGAAGCATGCAGATGGCGATCATTTGTGTATGCTATTATTATGGCCATAATTTTTTGCAATTCCACAAAAGGTATGAGCAAATTATCTCTCTGAGAGGCTATCATAATTGGGAGATATCTTGTATTTGGCATGGAAAGCTACAAGTTGTTTAGACTTGCTTAAAATTAATGGGCATTGTGTAATTGGGACGCACCCTTTTCTTCAGTATTTAATATAAGCAGTGTCAAAACAGCGTGAGAATGTTTGGAATTTCAGCAAGTACTGCACCATTTGCTGCCCCTTCCCCTGCAACTATGTCAGAATTGTAATTTCTAGAATTCTGGATGAAATTTTTGGAATCGAAGCCCTGACTCATTTTGAAAACACCAAAATCGGGAAACTTACACTATACAATTCACCTTTTAAAATACATGTTACAGCTTTTCAAATTAATATTGCCTGCACCCGACTAACTCGGGCATGTGCAGTAGAATGACATGTATGTCAGTAGATTGATATGATTCAGCTGTAGAGAAAGAAAGAAAGTCTGAGTAAGTTTGATAAAGAGAACTTAATTATTGATTATGCATACTGTATATTAAAGAATAATCAGATATGTATCATACTAGTAAAGAAAAGGAATATTGTTGGTCAAAATATTTATGAAGCCAATTCAAGTATTGAATTAAACTTAACCTTTTTTTCAATAACTGCAGTAGTTTACTAGTTCTACAAAAGAGATCCTTTTCTCATGCTACATGAGAAAGCTCAAAGGATTTAAAAATACATTTAGGTATGGAAATGGAAATTGAGATTGTCTGCCTTTTAAGAACTAATAAGTTTAATATCCAAGCTTTGGAATGCTTCTAGAATAGCTTCTTGGATTTCATCCAATCAAAGTTCATAGTCAAAGTAAAAGCTGTTGTAATATAACTATACTTGATGCTCACTTCTGACCAAAAGTTAATTTTCCACAGAAATATAACTTATGTTTAATAATACTTTGTGTTGTTTCAATTAAGGTATTAAATGTAACATTAATGTATTCTTCCTATGTATATATTTAAAATTATAAAATTATCTTATGCCTGTTAATTCATATTTTAATTACTTTTTTTTACAGAAATTCTTATATATTTTGTATTATAATAGTACAAAATAAGAAATTCTGTAATAATATGGCCAGTAATTATTACATTGCATTGATTTGTTTAGCATTATATCTGAGATAATCCAAAATACTGGTAAAATGTAAGTAAACTATTTAAGGGGTTGGTTTTTAGATAATACGATACACTACAAATTTCATCTGATCAAATTATCAATACAAACTTGCATTTAGATCTGAGAGCTTTTAGTATATACTAGTATGTCTATTATGCCATTTGGTTTACATACATTTTGTAAAAAAAACATAATTGAAAATAGTAATGATCTTAATTAATCCTGAAGAAAGCTAAACAGTACTGGGTTTATTTAATACTTGGAGGACGTACTAAAATTTCCAGAAGTGCTTTGCCCTTGCCTTTTTCCATGGGTTGAGAGAAAGGGACTGGCCCAAGATCACTCAGCAGGCTTCATGCTTAAAACTCAGAGACTCCCAATTTTTAGCCTGGGGTCTTAGCCACTACTCTAAGCAATCTGTCCAAGGGAATTCTTTACCTACTATAAATTTATTTTAGAAGTATCATGAGATTATAAATGTAATTCAATGTTCTGTCTCTTTTTGGTTTTTCAAAAGTGAATAAACATCAAGATATCACTTGGGACATCAATTTCTTTGGGATGAGTTAAATATGACATTAATTTGATTGTAATTAATCAGATTCAGTATGGCTCAACAGCTGCTACAGAAAAGCCAGAGCAGAATCAGAATAATTTCCTTCCTGGAACTAAGAGCGTTTGTTTGGGGTTTTTTTGTCCATACAATGTGTGTTTAATTTTGCACTTTGTAGTACAGATATACTATATATGTAGCAATATCTAAGAGCTCTTTTTAATTAATTTCATAAACATGCATCTTACAAGTTATACATTTCATAGGGTTTTTATATTGTTGTGATTTGATACCTTGCTATCAGATGTGCTGGAGGATACATTTTTCTCTTATATAGAAAGACTTTCCCCCTTGTGGGGACAGGAATATTGAATCACAGGCTCATGTTTTATTTCAGTGCTAATATCTCTTTTTAATTTATTTCCTGAACAGACACAATATTTTTGCATGGTTTTTTCCAGCTGAAAAAGATGCTAAAATAATCCTTACCATGCTCAGTTTGTAACTGTAGATGGTACAATTTATGCTTGGCTAATGGTAAAGTAGACTAAGTGCAGTCACATAGATAGTTATCTGCTCATCTCAGCTCAATTTTTAATGCTTCTGCTTTCTGTTTAATTTCTTTTAGGCTACTTTTTGACCTTTTTGGAACCAGTAAACAATATCACCATTGTCCAGGGCCAGACAGCAATTCTACACTGCAAAGTAGCAGGAAATCCATCACCCAATGTTAGATGGTTAAAAAATGATGCACCAGTGGTTCAAGAGCCAAGAAGAATCATTATAAGAAAAACAGACTATGGCTCACGATTACGGATCCAAGATCTTGACACAACTGATACCGGTTATTATCAGTGTGTAGCCACAAATGGGATGAAGACAATAACTGCAACAGGAGTTCTTTTTGTAAGACTAGGTGAATAACTTTATTTTAAAATGGGGAATTTTGTAACGAGCTTTGTTGTTTTATAAACTTTTAGTTTTCACAATCACAATATTGTGATTATTGTGATACTTCCTTCTCAGTATGTCTATGCTGAATTTGATACCATAAATTATCAATAACAGAAAGTAGATAGAGATGGAATGGTTAGCAAATGTGAAGTTTAGAGAATGTGCAGAAATATGAAAGATGATCATGAAAATATCCTTGTGAAAGATACAGACAAATAGCCTTTCATTACTTCATTTTTCGTAGAATTGTTTGAAATCATTATCTTTTTGTGCTCAGACCAATAAGTACCATTTCCTATCTAGAACTTACAACTTTGATCATGTGATGTAAAAGTTGCATAACTTGAAAAAAAAAACTTAAGTAATTCACTTGGACAATGGATCATATTCAGCCACAATGCGGTTTTGTTGAACTTAGTGATGGGCTTAATCTCTGCATCCAAAAAGTGCCGGGTTTAATTCTTTACATCTAAAATAATTTAAAATACCTCATTTTGAGTTTGACAATTAGATGGCTGCCGATGTCAGAACAGAGTTGGTTTATAGCAATTTATTTCTTCTGGGAAAGCTCACATATAGGTTCTCTTGACTAGGGGATTGTGCCTCTTTCTGGACAAAGCAGCATGCAGGAAATCTGTCATTAATTAGTTCCCTTCTATGTCTTCTAAATGGGTTGTCCAGGGGTGAAATGCTCCCGGTTCAAACCGGATCACCCAATCCGGTAGCAATGGTGGCGGGTGGTTCGGAAAACCGGTAGCAAAAATCCCTGTACCCCTCCCCCCCACCATGCCCAGCTGAGCCGCAGGATCATCAGAGGCTTTTTTAAAAAAAATTTAAACGCATTTTTTCTACAACCTCTTCCGATGAAAAAATGCTTTTAAAAGTTAAAAAAAAAACCTCTGATGATCGCGCGGCTCAGCTGGGATAGTCATAGGGTTTTCAAAGCATTTTTTTCTGTAACCTCTTGGCCGAAGAGGTGGTTTAAAAAATGCTTTGAAAAGTCTCTGACGATCCCAGCTGAGTTTCCTGATCGGCAAAGGCTTTTCAAAGCATTAGAAAAAATGCTTTGAAAAATTAAAAAAAAAAGTTGGCCACGCCCACCCAGTCACATTACCCCCCCCAAGCCACGCCCACAGAACCAGTAGTAACAAACCGGCCCACAGAACCGGTAGTAACAAATTTTACATTTCACCCCTGGGGTTGTCCCTTTACTGTCTTCTACGCTTTAGAGAATTCTTCAAAGATTTGATGTGCTTGCATAAAGAAATTGGGGAAAGAAGGCTCTAGTCTGCTAGAGATTTTTATTTAACTGATATATTTCTAGTTCTACATATCTAGGGATAATTTTCACAGTAAGAGTATGTCTAAAATATAGCCAATCCTTTAGTTCAGGAGTCTCCAACCTTAGCAACTTTAAGCCTGGAGGACGTCAACTCCCAGAATTCCCCAGCTTTGCTAGGAGTTGAAGTCCTCCAGGCTTAAAGTTCCAAGGTTGGAGACCCCTGCTTTAGCTGGCAATAGTTTAAAGATAGTTTGCCAATAGTTTGATAGGTATTGGACCATGCTAGTTGGGGGATGAGTAGTCTTCATTATAGTATCTCTAGACATTCTTGCTCATTAAATACATTTAGAGGTGCTTTTATAAATTGTAAGGTTTGAGCCACAATTCTCTGCAGTCATTATATAGATCTTATCTTACAAAAATCACATTCAAATTAAATTTTCTGATTGAAATAAATAAAAATACAGTATTTTACTGGTTAGTGTAAATTAGAAAGTGGAAAAAAATTACCAAAGATGGCAGTAGCAAACTAATTCTATACTTTTATCAAAAGCCTTCATAGTTAAGTTCAAGTAGTTAGTAGTAAGCAGCAGTAGTAGTTTGTTTCTTTAATTATTGTTTATTTATTCCCAGGTCCAACACACAGTCCAAATCATAATTTTCAGTAAGTATTGTTTAAGATTTATTTATTTATTTATTTATTTATTTATTTATTATTCAACCCATTTATTTCTGGATTTGTAAGTTTGCTCATTGTAACTGAAAGATTTTGGTAAAAAATGTTGAATTTTAGAACAAGTAATATTTTCTTATGTTTGTTTTTCTCACATGAAGAGAGTCTATTTTGGAAGAGCAGTTCAATATAACATGGTGATAGCATTTTGTGTCATCATATCCAAACCAGATTTACCAAAAAAAATGGCCTTCACTCACTACAGTTTTAATTTTCACCAGATTTAGTGTACAATATCTCTAAAAGTCAAGAATAGGAATGATTGTTGTAACATAAATAAATTACATCCCAAGTTCTTGGGGTTTTTATTTTTGTTGTTTCTCTAAGTTTTAATTTGATGTGTTGGGTTATAATTGTATCTGAATTTTAGACTGGCTGGGAATTAATAGGAATGTACTGTACGTTTATGCTGTTTATATAATTTATTTATATGTCTTAGAAGCAAAACTATGCAGATTTGGAAAGTGAAGAAGTGATATTTGGTGGTGTAAACATGCTATTGACAAAACTGTTTTAGGACATACTGAATATTGAAATCATGGAAAGAGACCAACGAGTGCATTTACTGCATTCAAATATCATATCTTGCTTTACAGTATTATACAGGAATAGGACTTGAACACAGGTGTCCTTTTTCAGCAGAGCTATTAAGTAGGTTAGATTTCACTTTTGATTTACTGCAGTTGAGTGTTCTGTTCCAACCCTAAATTACAACTAATCCTAACAAGACAGTTTCATTAATTCATCATAGTTTTAAGATTAAGCAGTTTGTCAAGTTCATAGAAAACAAATTGTGATGAATATTAACTGTAACAAAAGCTTCTTTTCCAGAGAAGAGAAGAGCTAATTACAAAAATGTTATGAATGGAATTCAACTCATGAAATGGCCCTGCTGCCAGATAAGGAATGTTTAAGCTTTCTTATTCTCCTTTTGCATACTGAGGAGCAAGGCTATGGTAGACTTCCTCAAACTGGGAATTCTCCCAGAAGATGGTTTTCCCAGAATGATCATCAATGGCCACGTTGGCTGAGGAATTTTAAGAATTGAAATTCACACTTCCGTACATGAGAAGGTTATCCAGATTTGAAAAATATATGCTAGAGACAAATAAAACCATGTATTTGGGGGTGGGTGGGTGGGTGGGTGGGGAATAAACTTCCCTTGTAAGTCCCTTGAATGAAAGAAGTCCAGATTTCCCTTTCTAATTCCAGATTTCCCTTTCAAATTCCAGAAACCAAAATGCTCAGTTTTTAGTAAATTACGCTAATAAAAGAAATCAGGCAGACCATTTAGAGCTGCACAAGTTGCTCCAAATAATTTTGGGAATGTTTTGACCTGCCTTACAGGAGCAATGGAGATATACTTTGATGTGTGAAAGATATTTTATACCAGAATTGTTATAAATATTCTTGAATGCAGGTCAAAGAGGAAGTATTTCTAGTTTATTAAACTTTAACTGAATTGAATCTTCCCAAAATTAAAAGAACAGCAAAGAGACTTTAAGGATTTCAGTGTTGTTGGGGAAACAAAAGAGGCTGAATGGAAAACTCCATTTTTTTCCAATTCATCAATGAGATTATATTACTCCAGCAACAGCAATTACTTGTAGAAATGAGCATTCAGTTGACACAAGAAATTAGTGTTGTATCTCAAATAACAATCCTGGTAGTCAAACAGAAAGCAAGCAGGTACAAGAAAAATTGCTTTTCCACAGATTATCATGCCTTGAAAAAAGTAGTTTATGATTATCTCAGTTGATTGTATTCAGGACATTGAGAAACCATGTGAAAGTATATGTGGTGATAGTAGTGAATCATTTTAATTGCTACAAAGGCTCTCTTTCCAAGTTGTATTATTCTTCATAATCAGAATTTTTGCGCAGCCTGTCCCAAATATCCTGTTATGATATCAATTACAATAGAAATAAACTCAAAGTTGATTAATGTTATAATCTATTTTCAACAAAATCAAAACAATTGTATTTATTTTCCATCAATGTTGTACTCTTCTCATGAATTTCCACAAAAGGCTGGTTGCTAATTCTACAAATTCAGTGATTAGAACTTTTTTTTTCCAACAGTGAAATAATTTTATCATGTATGTTAAGCTAATTGTTTTTTTTAAAAAAACAATTTGCTATTCCCCAACAGCAGGAAAAAAAAAATGGTGCCCTTTATATGGATGCAACATAGAAAATCTGAAATATATTGCATTATGTTGCTGGTTCTAATTAAGACTTATTACTCTGAAAGAATATTAAGGCATTTTCTTGTATTGTAGCAAAAGCAACATTCCAAAGATGGGAGTTAGAGTAGGAACAATAAAGAGTTATCCAAAAACTAAATACCATGCCAGAGGAGATGAGTAACATGTGCAATGTTTGGATGTTCTTCAAGTTATGGCAGTGAGATTCATAGTACTACATGTGTGCCAGTGTGGGTGAAAGTATGTGAAGAAATATTGTAGTGTGCCTTGTATCCAACTACAGTGTGCAAACTCCAGCAGATAGCCCAATGGAATTAAGAACTTTCAGAGGAATGAATCGGTTATTATAAAATATTATCATAGTCCCCAAAATTGTTAAATCAATAGGAATCAAAATTGGAGTTTCATTACAACATAGAATCGAGATGGCAAACCTATGGCATGCATGCCGGAAGTGGCACACAGAGCCATCTCTCTGGGCATGCCAGCCATCGCCCGTTGCTCCTCCAGGTTGCGGCGCGCTGGCCAGCTGGTTTTTATGTGCATGGGAGCCCTAGAAACCGGAAGAGCAGCTCCATGCCAGGAAGCTGAGTTTCCGCTTTCTGGTGCGTGTTGGCAAGCTGGTCTTTGCGTGTGCATGCGCACCAGAAACAGGGAGACCAGGCGGACATGCGCACGCCGGAAACTAGAAACTCAGATTCCCTGCACAGACATGTGTGCCAGGGAACTACTCTTCCAGTTTCCGGCACTACCGTGTATGTACACTGGAGAACTGCTCTTCCGGTTTCCGCTGCTCCCCCACGTGCGAGTGCTCCCATTTCGACACTTGGTGCCAAAAAGTTTTGCCAACACTGACATAGAGCTTTCAAGTACTTCCTATGCTTCATATATGCAAATTTTAATTGAAATATATTCTGGGAATAGTTATTGGAAAATTGCCCATGATTTAAAAATTAGGTTTCAGAGACAGTGTTTTTAAATAGATCTTCATAGCAATATTAAACAGTTAATAATGTACCACAAAACAGAAAGTTTCTGAAAAATTTAAGAGGTCCTTGTCTGTTTCACAATCTTTTATAGAGCAGTGTTTCTCGCAACTTTAAAATATTTGGACTTCAAGTACCAGAATTCCTCAGCTAGCAGTGCTGAAGTCCACACATCTTAAAGTTGCCAAGATTGAGAAATACTGTTATAGGGCAGCTCCTTGGAGTAGTACTTTGATCCATAATCTATGCAAGAGAAATGAGAAAAATGCTCATAACTGATTAATTGAAGTCAGAGAATACCTGTTCACTAATGTAAACTATGATGAGGCAGTGGTTCAGCCAATCAACAACCTGTCTTTGTCTAATTTTTATTCGATTATGCAGATATTATACAAGCATTGATTATAGTTTCTATCCTTCATAATTATTCTTACTTATATCTAAGTATTGGTAATAATTTTATACTTTAAGATGGCGGTCCCCAATCTTTTTGGTTGGGATCAGTTTCTAGAAGACAATTTTTCCATGGACCATGAGGAGGGTGGATGGTTTTGGATTTGCTCACTCGCACTCTCCCACTGCTCACCTCCAGCTGTGCGGCTCAGTTCCTAACAGGCCATGGACAAGTACCGGTCCATGGCTTGGGAGACCCCTGCTTTAACATACTTTTGTTTGTTCAACAAGTTAGTTATACGAACAAGGATTTGTAATTTTTTTTTTTTTTACCAATTATACTTAGGTTTCAACTATCATTATGATTCATTCCTAACAATGAGCCTGGAATAATAAAAATTGAAACTAAATCCTGGTTAAGCCTTTCTTCTAACCCTTTTGGAAGAGAATAGGGGAGAATATGAGCCTGAGGCGTTGTTTAGTCTCACAGAAGCTGATCCACCCAGAGCTAAATCAAGGCTTAGCTGTGTATTGCCTTGCTTGCACATAAGGCTTGTTCTTTCTGAAATTAATTCATCTTGCAAATTCTCTTCTGCAGGTACAGTTGTAAACTAAGATTGGAGAGATTCAGAGGGAGAGTGTATAGCTTTCCAGGAAGTTTCCTGCTGCTTTAATTTACCAAAAAAAGAAAAAAGGCTTGTGTCATGATAGGGAGCAAATAGTAAAAGCAGGAAGCTTTTTTTTTTTTTAATAGAAAATACAGAAGAGAAGGTCACTAGGAAGAGCTAAGCAAGTAATGTTTGTCAGTAGAAAAATTCTAAGCCTATTATTTATTTATTTTATTTTTATTTATTTATTTTTATATGCCGCCCTTCTCTGGAGACTCAGGGCGGCTTACAATGCGTTAAGCAATAGCCTTCATACTTTTGTATATTTTATACAAAGTCAGCTTATTGCCCCCACAAACCGGGTCCTCATTTTACCCACCTTAGAAAGGATGGAAGGCTGAGTAGACCTTGAGCCTGGTGAGAATTGAACTCGCAGTAATTGCAGGCAGCTGGATGTTAAATGCTGCCTTAGTAAGAGGCATTAGCCTCCTACGCCACTCAGGCTCAGTTTGACTCTTAAAAGACTAACCAGAGATTAAGAACAAAAATAGGTGTGTGTGTGTGTGTGTGTGTGTACAGGTACTCCTCAAGTTAAGAACCATTCATTTAGTGACCAAAGTTACCATGCCACTGAAAAAAGTGATTTATGACTTTTCATACTTACAACTGTTGCAGTATCCCCGTGGTCGCATGATCAAAATTCAGATGCTTGGCATGCGTTTATGGCAATTACATTGT